GACATATATATGCTGTACCGGTGCGTGTGAAGGGGTGGAGTGGGTGGGTGAGCTTGTCTAACTGCACTCACGAACGCCAGCCAAGAGTGTGGAGCACACCCTATATCCAATCCACCCGCATCACAAGGGCCATCTGGGAGAGAGAACAGGGCAGTCAGCCAGAGACACACATAACCACCACCATGCCTGGCAGCAATTTCTGCTCAAAGCAAATTAGATCTCCTTCTCTGGACTTTTTTAAAAAAATGGATAATATATTACCAACTTGTTTACCGGTGAGAGTGGGCATGCAGGAGCACAAGAGATGAGCCAGCACCCAGTAATGGATATCTGATATTTACGGTCAAACATAAATGTCTCTATGAATCACAGAGGCATGCTGCCATATACACACTTATCTGGGCTAAGAGAATATTGCATGCAATTTAACACATTTAACCACAGAGGAATAACTATGTAACTTCACATCTAGCTCAAAGGATCATTTGCTAAGAGTTTGTGCTGATCTCAGAACAGACATGGCATACCCAGTGAGATAAAGTCTTGGGTAAACTTGCCACCACACACACAGTTGTAACGGTGTATCTCAAGAGCAACATTAAGCCAAATGAGGTCAAAGGTTGAAGGACAGCAATGTGCATCACAATCAGCATTTGGCCTAAAGCTTACTGGTTACAATTGGGTACATCAGAAATAAGAGAGAGATGAAGGCATTACCCGTGGTGACATACCTCCTCGTCGTCAAGGAACTCATCATACCAGTCAACCAAGTCAGAAGGAGGTTGAGTATACCTACAATACACAGATTTGACATTATAAATGTGTATTCATCGAAGCCAGAAAATATGCATCATCCAAACAAACAATGTAGCTTGACCTAAATACTTATGAAATTACCATCACATATACAGCAATTTGGGTACATCTGCTCAACGTATTCATATTCCTTTGCTAAATTCAACACTAGAATTTGATTATTCAAAGTAGTTCACCCACATGAACCTCTATGGCAGTGTTAAAAAACAAAACATGAAATGACTTCTGAAACGGTTACTAAAAAACCCCCCAAAAAACAAACAATTTAGGTAATATTATGTGTTCTGAGTCATACCTGATGTACATGAAGCCCAGTGACCTGATATAGGGCGAATCTGTGTGAGTGATGAGACCCATCACTTGTTTGCGGGTCAGTTTCAGTGTAAATAGCTTATACAGCAAGCAAAATGCAGTGGACACAATCCCACCCGTACCGACTCCTCGAACCTGCAAGACAAACATCATGAATCCTACAGCTAGATTTATTTCCTGCTCAAGTGAACCTCTCCCTTGATTTAATCAAAATGACAAAGAGGATGGGAGGATGAAGTCGAGGAGGTCTCAAGGCACGTACTTCTACTTACCCCTCCGCACATTCCCGTCTGCCCCGCGGTCTTCCTGCTGCCTTTTTCCCATGGCTCCATATGGGTGACCTGAGAAGGAAGTCAGATGATTAGAGGAAAAATACAACTCAATCCCAAGCTAACCTTCTTTCAAACCTAGATTCTACATCTTACTGTTAATACGCTACTTAAAGCTAATACTTTAAAATTATAAATAGTGGGAAAAGAGTTCACAATCTTTTGCATTTTGTTAAATTATTTTGCAACAGTAATAATAGAAAGATACTATATTTTCCGTAGTAATAAAGGGACCTTCATACAAAAGACGATAACTTTAATTTAGTCGTTGTAATTCTATGAGAATAGGGAAGTTCACACCACAACTATAATGACAAAATGATATCGTTGGATAGTGAGAGTCTTGCTAATAAACACTGGGACCTGGTGTTTTGGTCTCATAAGTCACAAAAAAAAACCCGTGCTACGTTCATTTGTAAGTCGCTTTGGATAAAAGCGTCTGCTAAATGTAAATGTAAGTTGCATGGGTATATTTGTAGCAATAGCCAACAATACATTGTATGGGTAAAATTATAGATTTTTCTTTTATGCCAAAAATCATCAGGATATCAAGTAAAGATAATGCTCCATTAAAATTTTTTTAAATATTTTTTCTTACCGTAAATATCAAAACTTAATTTTTGATTAGTAAATATGCATAGCTAAGAACTTCATTTGGACAACTTTAAAGGTGATTTTCTCAATATTTAGAATTTTTTATTTTTTTTGCACGCTCGGATTCCAGATTTTCAAATAGTTCATCTCCCCAAATGTTGTCCTAACCTAACAAACCACACATCAACGGAAAGCTTATTGATCAGCTTTCAGATGATGTATAAATCTCAATAAAAAAATTAAAAAAAAGAGACCCTTATGACGGGTTTTGTGGTCCAGGGTCACATTTCTCCAGCTTTTGAACGACAAAATACACTGAATGTACGGTCATTCTGTCTATAGTATAAAAAAACACTTTGCGTGTGCTAATAAATCTTACTGGTTTGGACCAACGAGTGGGTGAGTTCATAATGACACAAATATAATTTCTGAGGTAACGTTAACTAACTATTCATATAACGTTAGGCATATTTTGAACTAAAGCTAGTTAGCACAATTAGCCTCCATTGACTAACACGGCCTAGTTCAGCTCACGTAATACTACATTTAAAACAAAAGACAATTATTTAAAAACTATTTAAGCTTAACAGGAAAAATAACAACCAAT